TCAAGTTGGTAGCAATCTACTCGGCCAGACGCCTCCATAACCAAACAAAGAAACTCTAAACCAAAATTTCAATCACATTGAACACAGCTTTGCAAACTCACCATTTCCTATGAGGTTTCCACTAAGTATGTCACGTAGAGACCAATCGCGCAAAAATCACATGGAAGCATAATGTGCCTCTCCCATCAGAATAGCAGTCTTATATACTGTCCAATATCGCTCGTGATAACGAGGCATTCCTCCCTGCGGTTCATTTTCGGATTCTTGGAATTAATCCAGAATGCCTCTAGAGTTTTGCGCGCTTGTGTTCTTGATTCGCGTGCGAGGATCGTGACACATACTTCAAAGTTCTCCCCGTTATGTCTCTGGGTCCTTGCCTCATCATACCTTCGGGCGCCTTCGGTATACCAAAGATGTGGTCTTTACAGTGAATTTTTACATATAGTTTTTTGGTTCTTCTTTTTAAAATGTATCAAGTTGTTAAAGAAATAGTGGCGCGTTTTGTAGAATGATTCGAACTTTGCAAATTGCGTCAATCGCAGCTCTACTGATCAGCATGGGAAACATTGTAATTCTCCTTTTTTGCTAGCAACTTATAAATATTTAGAGTCGTGAAAGCTGCAAACTTTTGTGAGATATTTCCAGTAACGGTCTGGGTGCTGCAGATTTCTTCTTGGGTGCTCTAGAATTGCTTGAAGAATAGTGGGCGGATGAGGTGTTACGGACCACAATTCATTCAACTGCTGCATTTCCAGTTGCAAATTTTGTGCCACTTTCTTCGACAAAACGTCTGATAATGTATTTCATTCTCCTACTAATTTTATTGCAACTTCTTTGCTGTGACCATCTCGATGAGATTCAGAACATTGGGGTGATTATGACCGACTGTAGTTCACCAAACTTCTACATTAACCCTCTTTCGATGCTGTTTTGGCCTTGTGAAGAGTTTAGGAGCATAATCGTGGTCCTACCACCGCATTGAATGTGGTCGGTTGCTCGAACATGTCTTGGGATGTTGCTGCCTCCAGCGCTGAAGATATTTTGCACAAACACAGTTTTCATAACTTCCCAACGGTTTATCTCCACATCGTGGCTGGGAGGTGTTGGGCTGAGATCTACATCGGATTGATTCATCCCCAGCAGGGTCTCCCAAGCTGAGAAGGAGTCCGGCGTTTCCATCAGGAAACTGAGCTAAGAGTAAACCAATTCCAAGATCCACCACCGTCCTAGTATCAAACTAGCTTGCATGGTGGCAAATCTCCCTGTGATCCACAGGAGCGGCAGCTGCCTTTAGTGATGATGGGGCAGACTTTGGCCAAACTGGCTTTCGGACTCCAGGAAACCATAGTGGCTAAGCCAGAAAATCTCCGAAGAATGGTGATTTTGCTAGAGCCGGACAACCAGTGAAGACGTGACATTCAAGTATCCAACTGAGTTTATAACCCGTCTACTAGTTGCCATACGTTTCAAAATAGACCGCTTACATATACGGTACTACAAAACAAATTTTGCTTGAATTGTATGGTTTTGGCTCAGAATTCTGAGAGGTTATGGTTCTATTTCACTTTATACCCTTGATATGAAAATAATACGGAGTGCATCAAAAGTCACATAAAGAATGACACTGTTCGCAGAAAAGTCTGTCACACCCCATTAAAATCAACGGGTACATCATCTTGCTGCTAGTCTCTCGTTTTTGTGATTATTGCACTTTTTTAATGGTAGAAATTACTATTGCCCAACCTACACAGGCGCTGGTTCGGCATCCTGGAACACAGAAACTCTCATTCTTCTGGATAAGGAAAATTACAGGCAGGTTTCTTTGGGAGGAGTTTAGTTTTTCGACGGGAACGCTCTAAGACGGCTATTGAGGGTTTTCAGGAAATTTGATTCGACCAATATGCAACAGTATTCATAACGAAAACGAAAAAAACCTTAACTGGCAGAATAACCTACGTGCATAAAAATTTGAAGACCTTCTTAGTTGTGGATTCGAGGAAAGGAATCAAATTCAGAAAGTGCTTTAGTTCTCAAAGTGTGGTACATATGATACTGGGCCAGTTCTTACCATAAATATACAAAGGCTGAGTTACCTAGGTTTGAGGTTCAAATTGCGGTGCTAGCGGAAAGCCTCCACGGCATATTAGCGTAAGCCAAGCTTCCAACAAAAAACTAGCAGATACATCTTGTATTAAATCTATGATGCTCTTTAAGCAAATAGAACGAAAGAAGCCCATAGTGGAGCATCTCGAGCGCCCTACGCAGGAAAACGGAAGTAACGTAGACGCTTCTCGAGGTCACTTCTTAGACTGATCTGACAAAATTAAGCTACTACTTTCGGTTCGTAGCGCAACTTTGTACTAACGACTAGCTACACGGGCATTGTGTTCTATCAGTTGTTCTTATTTTTAATTTCTTCGTTTACATAATCGAAAGACGAAATCTTTATCTACAGCATCCACTTCATATCATATTCTACGCTGCAGCACATGTTCGGTCCGATCATTGCGAAAGAAATCTCTAGAAGCATGCCCTTTCAATCAAGCTCCCTACCTAGCAAAAGTACTGACCATTACCAGTTAACGCCACTAATGTTTTTGTCATTTTGACTTTAATGTTATGACCAAAACAATTAATCTGATTTCCAATTTTTGGCTTTTTTCCAATAATTTTCTAGCGTCGTCTAATGAACGAAGTATTTTCGCAGACCGGGCCTTTGTTTATAGTTCAATGTCATGGTTGCTCTTGCCTAACCATTTAAGTGCATGCTTTCGGCATTTATGGGAAAGCGGTAGACAAGATAAGATAAGGGCTCTTAAAAAATTTCAGACTTTATCCAGCAGCAAGAAAAGAAGAGCGTCAATCTAAAGAGTGATGTATCATGTTTTCTTAGAATACATCAAGAAAATCGCAATCCGTGATAGTACGGGAGTACAAAGTGCCACATTAATTTCTTCCGCGTTTGCGGCTTGGTTTACAAAAAATGAAGAGCTATAGCTAAATATACTTGGATATTCTCCCCTCATGTGTGTACAAGAATTTGGATGCTTGGATTGAGCTCTCAAGGATTTTCAACGCCAATATAATTTCTATTTGAATGACAGCTCGCCCGTTAGGCGTTTTTTTCCAATGAAGCTTCATGATAACCCTGCTACGGTGGTCTCAATTTACGCCGAATGAGTTTCGAAACGAGTGAGTAGAAAATGAAAGTCGATTCAGTTGTGAAGCTTACCATGAAAAATTATTTCGAATTGTGCAGTTTTCTATCGTGTGCATCGATTGACCGTAGTTGAGAATTGTCCCACTTTTATTCCTAGGCTCTTCAAGGAGATGATGGTGAACTTGAGAAGGAGGAAAATCAGCTTGCAATTTACTTTGTGAAAGAGGTTTCTTTGATGTTATAGACTTATGGCTAAGAATGATTGCGAAAAGATGGGAATAACTCAAAAGACCGACTTCGTGAGAATAGTTTTATGAATCTCTACACCGTTTTCAAAGCCTACTGAAAGAAACGTTGTCGAAACTTCAATAGTATAAAGTACAAGTAGATTTGGAAAACCCTTAAAGAAAAAAAGCTTGTCATTATTGAGAAGGTAGAAGCTACATAAACTATCGGAAAAAACTTTGTGAACAACTTTGCCCGCTATCAGTTTTTAATTCACTTCTATCACTTAGGGTCATACTCATCATTGAGTTACTTCAGCAAATATTAATACATTATTCATCAGCTACCAGATCTACACAGTGGACTCCGCTAGCTCAAAGAATATGAAGGAGCCCCACTTTTGGGTTTTAATACCAGTTCTCAAACGGTTTATAGAGAGAAGGTTGTCGAAGTAGATCGTCAGATTCGACCGTAACGTTACGAACTTCGGGATTGAAATGTTGCACTCCCTCTGTTTCGATGACGCCACTGGAAGGTCCATTTCCTTGCTCTACATCTTATTTTTTACATTACCTACAGAATGAGTTGATGAAGCATTAGAAATTTTTCGTTAAATCACAACAATAAAAAGAACTATCATTTCTATTGATAGGAGAGAGATATGTTTGTATGCTCTAAAGTTTTTCTTTTGAGAGTTTTAATTAATGATCCGAATGTCTTTGAACGATCTGGTATCTCAGAATTTAATGGTATCGAAAACAACACGGACTCAAAGTTTAACTTGTGTTTTGTTCGTGGAAGTTCTGTTTCTCAATCCCAGAGTTCCGACAACGATCTGCTTTGTTTTCGCGAATTCTTTCATTCCGACAGGTTCCGTTAGTGAAGATGTCTCAAAGACATCTCTGTAAAAAAAAACAGTGAAGACATGTTTGTAAGGTGTTAGCAAAGTAAAGAGAAAATTTTAGTTATGAAGAAAACGCTCCAGTGACTTTTAACTTAGACTAAATATATCTAAATAAAATTAAGAAAAAACTGCTAATTTCCCAGATGTTTTCTTCACTAAAGGAAGCCCTGTTAGCTGCTAGGTTATGAAGTGTTTATCTCAAGGCATGTGAATCTGGAAAATAGACTCCTTGCAAAGGCTGTACCCGATATTTGGAAGGAATGGTAGCTACCTGATTTAACTCGAACAAACTTCTCGAAAATTACTTTGAGAGAAGTGAGCGAAGGCATTTGAAGGCGTATGGAACTCGAAATCCACCGAAGTAGTTCTATTTCCAATCTATTGATCCCCTGCCTAACTATTTTTGGAGTCGGTAGGCCAAAATCCGCTGTATGGCTTATGCGCGTTTTTACGGCTTAGTTTGCAATTAATTTCTACCTTAATTTGAGCGAAATCTTGTTGTGACAAGCTTTTGCTGTACAAAATTTGTCTTTGGAGGATCCAGTTAATTCTGTGTCTATTAAGGGCGCAACATTATTCCTCAGCCTTTAGTGCATATTTCACTGCATTCAAAGAATGCAAAGAAACTATGAGACAATGGATTAAGCTTACCTTTGGGCTAGTTTTTTTTTTACTAATCTGTGGTCTGATAGTTCGTGACAACCTTATAGCTCAGATGAGCTTAGTTTTCGTGTTACTAATATTTGAAGTGAAATAGAACGCCGTTCTCGCATACCTGTTCACAGTCACACCACAGACGGACTCAACCTGGGCGAATTGCTTGACCACTGGAGCAGTCCATCCAGCAAAGGAATGAAAATCTGTGAAATCTGGTGGGCTTTCACCAGCTACTCCAGGCCCGTAAACGTTCCAATACCTTAACATTGAGCAAATAAGTAGAAGCAGTGCAGATACGATACCTTAGAAATATAATGCATAAATAGGACAAAAATCAGGAACTACGCCAAGGATGTAAGAATTAAAAAAGGTCTAACGCGTTATCAACCATTCCTGGGCTAAAGCATTCACGACCACATCATACGGGTCCTTCGCTTCTTCCTTTCTCTTGGCTAGTTTTCTATTTACCATTGCCATCAGCAATCACCCGTCAACGTGATTGATCTGGGGAGCCCAAATCGGCAACGAACCCATTTGCGGGTTCTGGGTTAACAGGGTTCATTGCCGATTTGGGCTCCCCAGATCAATCACGTTGACGGGTGATTGCTGATGGCACTGGTAGATACAAAACTAGCAGAAAGAAATTAGGAAAAAAATTGAGAAAAAACCCTGGGGCAATATTTTAAGCCATATGTTTTAAAAGTAAAAGTACTGCTTAGGTTTTTATTTTAAAGTACTGGAGATTGTTCAACCAGCAACGTTCAATGTAGTCAGTAGCGGCACCCTGAGTATCTGGTTTAGTGCATTGGTATATGGTAAAGTTTTTTGCCCTCAAGTCCTAAAACGTCAGAAAACTTTCAGGTTTTTGTAATACTACAAGCCAGTGATAGCCAGTATGTAAATTCCTCTTGTTGCCACAAGATATATGACCTTCCAACTACACCAACCAGTCGTAGTGACGATAACTATAAAGGATCTCTTACCATAACATTGTGCCATCGGCAATCAAGCCGCTTGTAATTTGACTCCAATCGTAGTAATTGGTATAGATGCCAACGCTGAGACCATATTGCTTAAGTCAGATTTATTTTACAAAAAAAAATTGTCTCCTCAATTAAACTACAGTGGTTCCTTACTTTGACTCTAGCTGTAATGCTGTCAATGAAATTAACGTTTACTGCGATGCTAGTTGACCAGTTAATTGGCGAAGTTACCTAAAACAGGATTGGTGCATTTTATTTTGTATTGACAACTCCCTTTCAGCTTTTTGTTGGAATAAAAAGGTAGTTCTTGAAAGTGCGAGTTTTGCCTCGATTTCAACCTGCGGTGTCGTCTTCTTAAGTGGTAGAAAATGCTTTTTTCAAATTCGGATTTCCGTTGTATTGCTTTCTACTAATATGAGTACGGTCTTACATAAAACGCACCTGAATCCATACAGTCACTATTTTAATGCCTGATTTGGTCATATAGTTGTACATCTCGTCGAACTGCTGTGATCCTGTCTTTCTAGAGTTTGGTTGTGGTGTCATGTATACTTCGGTGCCGAGTCCCGCTGAAGAAAATGCCTTAGTGAAAGAAGTTTTAGTGGAACCCGATTCAAATTTGTGTTTTGTTGTTGTATTCTGGCGGACCACAAGTACGGAGAAGCAGGAGGTCCCAAATCCTGCTTTATATCGTGTCAGCGCTTATCACTCCAGGGTTTCTTAGTGATCAGTTAGTTTCACCTCTGCGAAATCGTCGTCAAGGTACTAATGTCAAAAAATTTCCAACTTTAAGAAGAGCGAATGAAAAAATGTTGAGCCGAAGTGATTACCGCAGAGCATAGTTGGTTAGTGGGTGCTGTAGGTGTAGTTACTTCCACCTTCGCTTGAACCGTCATACTATTGAATTCCCAGTGTAAATGTGAAGTGTGGTCTCCGTAACTGAAGAGCCAGACATCTAGGCCCGTTCTCTTTCTCACGATAGAATTTTTACGGATTGGATTATGATATTTTCACCACCGGCGTTTGAGCTCGGCACAGATCTAATCGCCGATCATGGAAAGCAGTTTGAAATTCTATAACTCGGCTCATCGCACCTTCATAGAGCTTCATGGATTAGAGTGCAACCATTAAGGTTCGAACTTTTTTTTGCTATAAGAACATAGGAATCTATATTTTTGAAAGAAGCAGTTCTTTGATGGCATTTTCAGCGAGGGCTTGGGTATTTTACATTTCGCTGAACTTTCGCAAAGTCAATTATAAAGCGAGTGGCTTTTTTTGTTAACCTAGGGAACTTCATCGATGCTGCTTTTCTTTTTGGTCTTTTCTACATCATTAGAAAAGTTGGGGTTAATTATCCTCGCTATAGATTCTTAAGCTATCACTACAGCAGTTTTTGGTGTAAATGTAGCTTAAGCAGTGCTCAGAAGCCTCATGTGGGTTCAATTACTGCCCTTTGTGTTATTTCAAAGTGCTTTTGTTAGAGTGCCCAATAACAATGATATCTGACAGAAACCAAACTTCCACCACTCTTCGACTTGTTGCTGTGCTTCGTAGGTAAAATGCACTTTGCACACGATATTGATGACAGTGGTTTATTCGTTAGACAAGCTTCCTTCCTGGATTTTTGAGGTATGGCTCCATCAAGGTGTTCATAGGTCGCCAGCAAGGCAGTCTACCTATTGTTGTTAAGGAAAGATTCCCTTCCTTACGATTAGATTTCCACCGAAAACGATGCTTAGTATAAGTTTATTGGCAGGGTTCTGCATAGAAATCCAGCTTTCCTTTTATGTGACTTAGACGACTTTCGCCTACATGTTTCAAACCGTTACTTAGTAAGAGTTCTTTAATACTCTCGACTGTACTGATTTTTTATTATTTTTACGTTGTATTATTTTGAATTATCATTTTATTGACAACAATTTAAAACGTACTGTTTACGAAAATTCTAATATATATGGTCCTAGTCAATACGAACACTAACTCAAACTTATCTGTGTTGCTCCATTTATTGAACAACTCTAATTATAAAGACGAACCGCTGTATGCATTCTGGATGTTGGAAACAACAGCAGGATCGACTTGTCCTTGATCAGCTGGAGAGTAACATCTTCAAAACAAAGTATTACATAGCTCGTTTCTATTTCATGTTAATAATAACATTAGTTCCCAGGATCGACTTTCTCTTAACCTCGGCATTAGAATATGAATGTGTCGTTTTCTTGTTCAGCAATCGCGAGGTTTTTAAACAGCATACATTTACTTCCATAAAAACACAATACAATGCAACGCTAGCTGACAATCGGGTAATCCAGCTCTGTATGTAGCTCTGTATGAAACATCAGCTAGCGTTGTATTGTATTATGTTTTTATGGAAGTAAATGTATGCTGTTTAAAAACCTCGCGATTGCTGAACAAGAAAATAATAACATTATTTGCAAAGCTGCACAGCGCGGATGTCTGCGTTGCGGAAACGCGCTATCCACCCTTTCCGGGGGGTTACGCGTTCACCACCACACCATGAGGGTCATTCGTTTCACCTGTCTCTGAGGGAGATCTGAGAAGTCCAAAACTCAATCCCGTTGAAGGGTGATTGCTTATGGCACTGATCGATAGAAATAGCTGAGAGACGTGCGAAACAAAGGACCCGCATGGTGTTGGGGTGAACGCGTTAGTCCGCGGAAAGGGTGATAACTCGTTCGTTCCCCACCGCAGACACCTGCGGGCCTGAGTTCTGTAAATATCTCAGCATCATTGTGGTTGTGTCACACATAATACCCTACCATGAAGAAATAATAGGCATTAAATAAAAAGTTGACATAAAAACGTTACTACTATGAATACCTGTCAATATTACAATTTCGTCAGTAATTTATTATTCCCTTAATAGCTATCACAATTCCGTTATCATTTCCTGCAATCATTAGCTACCCATTATTGCAAATCATTAGTCACTTTAATTATAACTGCAGTTAGCATTATCATTATTAATACGGGCACTAGTACCCGTATCGCTCCTTCCATAGTTTACTGACTTATGGTGGCTGGTGACTTATATACGTGGAGCGTGCCTTATAGAATGACTGGTCCATCCTGTCGAGGCGTCACTGATAGATAGTGTTCGAACAAACAGATGTCAAAGCAGAGCCCGGCACGAGTTGTCCGTGATCAATTTATCGCAAAGGACTGTAGAAATAAAAGGAATTCTGTCGCGCATGTAATGCAATTTTTTGTATGGCCTTCCAGCGAATAAAGTCTATAACGCAGCAGTTGTAGAGCTCAACGAAAACGAGTAGAGCCTTTATTTGTACACATGAGGGACAGGCAAGGTTTGGATACATTAGTAATGTGCATATTTAACAAGGATTGAACATTGTTTCTGCTTTTATCCGTAGAGCAGGTCCAGAATGATGCGTATCTTTCTTACACGTGAAACCGGTGACACTTTTCGTCATTTATTGTTATCGTTGTTATCTCTCTCGGTATGCTACATCGTTCTAAAGCGGTCGGTCAATTTTTTATTTCTAATTTCATATTCACATGCACAAATAGTCGAAGGAATCATTGCCGATGCGAAGCTTGCCTTAGGGATACATTCTGTTGATGACCTGAATACACCCTTGCAAACCTACGTTAGGACTTCGAAAAGGAATAAATTGCCGAATAAGTAATAAACGAGAAAGAGCACGTAGTGGATGGTCTCGCCGGTGATATCGCTGCTGAGACGATCGGCAGCAGGCGACTAAACTTCAGATCGGGTTGGAAATCAGTGGAGCCGGGTCAAACGAACGCGCCTATAACGCGCCGTAGAGACAATTTCTTGCTTTCCTTCTGTAACACTGGAATAGTGTTCTCAGGATGCAGCCTCTACTCCCCTTGTGGTCGCTAGTAGTTTCAAATTCCACTTAATTCATCAAAAGACGAAATGCTGGAAGATCGATATTCGCTATGTGATGGCACCTTTGTCATTCGAAGGAAAAATTTTCTCCAGAAACTGTTGGTGGGGGAGGCTTTACTGCGCAACGATCTGTTGCTCAACATAATGTTTCATAAAGGTCTTCTCACCTCGCTAGCCATTCTACGGTTTCAACTTCTACGCTAAAATAAGATCAGTATTATGGACTGCTACTCACCAACCTCTGCATCCGACGAAAACGAATGCAATACTTTTCACGACCAACTAAAAAATAAAGGAAAAAAAGATTGGCGTGATCAACGCCTGAAATGCGCCATGAATTCATAGGATATGGTTAGAGGTGGTGAGTGCATACGTGGCTTATAGAATAACTCGTGGTTGCCTACAGATGCACTAAGTAAGTGCTGCCATCCGCCCAGATGGGTCTAGCACCCATTTACCCACCCCAAAGGAAAGGAATGGACGACTTAATGAGGTAGGGGCGGAGGACCGAATTAAAGACCACGTGCATATCGCAGGACTTGTTTACTTGGATACTTGGATGGCTCGTCCTCACTGTTTGTGCTGGCCCTAGCATAATTTCTAGTTTTTGGAGTTCTGCTGGTTTAGCCATTGTGGTTCTCTGGAATACCGAGGTCAGCCTGGCTAAAGTCTGCTCTCCAGGTCGTCACCACCACAGGCAATCGCGGCCCTTGTGGATAAGAGGGAGATATGCCAGCACGCGACTACTTTTACACCAGGACGGTGATAGATCTTGGTACTGCTTCACTAGGCTCTCTGATGTAAACGCCAGACTCCAGCTTGGAAAGCTGTAGTGGGGATGAATCCCCGCTTTACATCGTAACCCAACACTCAGGAACAGCTCGTATCCGCGATGAGGTGGTAAACCGGTGGTCATCGCAGAACACCTCTAACAACTTCGCTACCTACACTCTTTACAACCAGCTTGTGAAAGTGATCCGCCACAAAAATCCTTCCAGGAATCCGTTTTGAAAACTGCAGTGCTAGGGCGCCACCGAAATCACATTGTGTGAATTCCAGCATTTTTGACATTGAAATACCTTAGAAATTTTTTAGGTGTGGCATCGGTTAGTGTTTGTAACTTTTTTCTTCTTCGTCGAGATTGTCCCAAATGCTGGTTGAGTCAATTCTTCTTGTCATCCTGAGAGAGCCATGATACAGCGTTTTTCATTAGGGAGTAATCTTGTCCTAGAGAAGTCTTGTACTAATTTACTGACTTCATGGAAAGCTTCATGGGCCCAAAGCGAGGTAGACAAAGCCGTCTGGAGGTAAGGGAGTAGTGTATCACCATCGTTGTTTTCTCTACTTCTTCACATCAGCACAAGAAGATAAGCTGTTGAAAGCTCAGCGGAAAAACCCAGTCTAAGGAATGGCCGTCAGGGTCCGTGTGATTATTGTATTCATCTTCGGTCCTGATTCCTGATAAACGAAGATGGCATCACTACCACTTCCCACCAACATCTGGATAACAATAAAAAAAATTTCACAGTGAACTCATTGATTTTACAATTCCCAACCAGAACTGCAAATTCCCCACAAAAGGAGAACTACCTCAGATTTTTACTCCTAACTTTCGGATTGCGATCAAGAGCATGGACGGATTCAGAGCTCCAAGACCAGGTGACACCGTTTTCAACAGAGATTCGGCTGCATGGACCACATCCTAATGTGTCCAGGCGCATAAATGTTTTTAGAGGATAACCACCGACCCTTTGTCCTAACTTCTATCGCCTATTAAAAAGCTTTCGACAGTGTCAAAACGAATACAGTCCTATCAACGTTCATAGACCAAAGAGTGCACTCGTGCTGTATAAAAATACTAACTAACTGTTGTCGTAACCACAGCACAAAAATACAAGTACTCCACCAACCTTTTACCATTACCATAGAGTTTGACAAAAAGAAACCATATCGCTTCCGGTGACTTCAGTATTGCAAAGGATAATGACGTCGCTTGACGGCGACGATAAGGGCATACGCCTTGATGACGATTTCCGGTCAAATTTTATTTTGTTGACGGCATCGTAATACTTTAGAGGAATGCTAGCGAAAAAAAGGCGT